TTGAATAAAAAGTAAATATTTTTTTGTTTTTTTATATTTTCTTATTTTTTTGGTTTTTTGATAAAATGGGGGAACATAGCTCAAAAGATAATCAACTCCTCCAATAAAGGTAACCCGAGAAACACCGCCAAGAACCCAAAACAAAAAAAAGAGAACAAACACAAATTGAACATTACACGTATAATAGGCACTTAGACAATATATTACGTAACTTACGCACTTAAAAATAGAAAAGAATTCCAAGGCTCGAGTTGATTCATATCCTTGACCACATATAGAGGATCGTCAACTCTCTATAAGGCCTAGAGTCAAAAATTCAAAGGCCTTTTGGATCACTTTGAACCCCCACTCACCTCAAGTGCTCAAACAATGATTCCAAAAGATGAAAAAGTTTATAAAAGAGCGAATCTTTCTTTCATTCTAACTCCCATGCACAAAGTATTTATGAAGAACATTTGATACACTTTAATAAACTTTAACGTCTAATGATGAAAATATTTTGCAGGTCTCCTTGAACAACTCAAGCATAAGAATTGTAATCTATTCACATAAGAGAACATTACATATTTTCAAAAAACTTAAAAATTGTTTTTGTGCTTAAACAACCTTAAATTTTATGAAATTCAACAAACAAACAACGACATAACAATCAGTCAATAACGAATTTTAAGGAAAATGTCCAACTTATGGGGCTAAGAAGTCCAAAATCCTTAAAATTTTACAAAACACATAGCAAAACGAAGAATCACGTATGAATTCGGAAATCATTTAACTATAATATGAAGCTAAAATAGCTTCAACAAAAACCGAATTCCACATACCAACCTACTTATGAAACCAAACCGTATGATTCAACCAATTCAACAACAATTTGCACAATAATTGAAGAAAACTAATATGAATCAATTTTCATTCATAAGGGATTTAATATAAACATTCAAAAAAAACCCATAAAAGAACACCAACCATTTTGGATTTTTTCAAAATTAACACAAACAAGGAAAAAAAGAAGTGTAAATTTAGATTGGAACAACCCTTTTACAAAGAAATTGGAGAAGAAAAAGAAATTGACAAATAAGGGTTACCAAATGTTGAAGAAGATGAAGAAATTGGAGCTGGAGGAAAGTTGCTGCCCAATAGAGCTGCCATCGCCGGACGCCACTACTGTCACCGCGGCCTCGTCGCCGGCCTCCATAGCAGCGGCCAGGCCGCTGCTTTATTCCCGTCGATGTTCCCCCCTCCCATGTGTGTCGATTCTCTTGAATTTATACCAAGGAGGAGCTTTGGAGAAGTTGAATTCTTCCCGTTGAGATTCTTCCGTTAGAGATTGAATGAGGAGCGAATTCGATGGAGAAGTTACGCGGAATTGGCCACTGCTTTGTTGTTGCGCCGGTGTGATTTTCAACTCACATTAAAGCTGCATTTTTTTCTTTTTTTTTAACAATAACTTTGGTTAGGCTCCTTTGACTTGATGCTTTACTAATTTGGTGTTGGATTTGAGCTCCGACCCAAATTCAATCTCTTCTGTTCAAACTTGGACTCTGTTTTGGCCTTCTGCTATATTTTTCTACAAAAATTAAGATATCTGGTAACTTGGGTTAGGAAAAAATAAAATAAAAATAATATTATGTAAAAAATGATTAAAAAACTACTATTTTTAAAAGAAAATTAAAAGATTGTAAAAATGAGAATTAAAATAAAACTAAGCTAAACTACTAAAAATAAACTTTTAAAAATATTAAAAATGGCTAAAAAAGAGAATAAAAAGTACTAACCCAAAACCGACATATCACTCATCTATTCAGCGATCATTAATCAGGTAAATTTCGAGGACAAATTTTTTTAAGGGGTGGATAATTCTAACGCCCTGCAACCCGGTCTAATAGAATTGATTGTTTAAATAATTAATTACTGTTCCGGACCGGAGTTAGGGAAAAATAAAAGTTCATAGAAAAATTATTTGAACATGTCATTAAATTCGTTTTGACTGTCTGACTCCAGAACGCAAACGGATCTCAATTCGGACCCGTTCAGGGGAAAAACCGCGTACCGTTCAGGTCAGATTTTACATAACGGAGTAAAATTTAGGGAATTAATTCCCCATTTATGCTTACACGCCACTCTCCTCTCCATACCATCCATTTATCCACATTCACTCCCCCCATAAACTCTACATTATTCCTCATCATTATAATAGCTCTACCCCCTTCATTTCCATAGCAATTTGTAACTCCCATTCCATAACTCCCACACCCTCACAATTCCCTCTCTTGTTCGGCCAAGGCAGCAGCCCAGGGAAGGTCTCCGGCAAAGCTTCGGTGGGTGCACGGTTGGGAAGAAGGAGGAGGAGAAGAGCTAGGCCGTTCGTGTGAAGCATATTCGTCGTTCATCGATTCTTTCATCATCTCCGTAGTTTCAACTCATCATTTAGAGGTGAGTAGTTGTCCCCTCTAATTCTAGAACATTTAGTTATAATCTATGTCGTTATATTCATAGGAATATCGTACGCAACCTACGTAGCAACTATGCATGTTCGTAGGTTAGCCATCAAAACGTTCACTACGTAAAACTTATATATATATTGGCCTAGGAATCACTAGGAATATATTCACCAATGTTTGTAATATTGCTCTGAAAAGAATCAGGGTATTAAGTTTGCAAAATGGATCAAATATAGCCAAAGACAGAAGACTGTCATCGGGACGGTCGACCGTCGCTTCGGACGGTGGACCGTACCCTCAGCCAATCTGACGGTCACCACCGTGACGGTCGACCGCCGGCCGCAACGAATGACCAAGGTGGACCGTCTGTGACCCTGACCTAGACCATAGCCCACGGTCGACCGTCGGTAGGGTACGGTCGATCGTTCCGCGAGCAGATTTTCAGGGAGTTTGTAGAATGAGCCCCGTTGACCATATTGACCCAGAGTCTGATTGTATGTTTGCATGAAATGTTAACCTTCAGTATGTATGTTATTTAATTAATATATTCTTGGCGTTGACCAAAGGTAAATATATCAAGCATTCATCACATTCAATCTAGACGCATGTCCTAGGTTTTCCATCATGTGCATACCGCTGTAGGGAGGTCAGGCTTCCGTGTGCCTACTACAGTGGTCCCGTCCAGGGACCTTTGGGATCCATCGGATTTTCATCAGGTGGGCTTTGTGTACGTACATGGTAGTCAAGTTACGGCTACCACCCAGTTTTGCTAGACCACTTGCGACATCTTTGTCGAGCTTGGATCATTACCGTTTTGGTATGATAACCGGAGTGCAGGGGTGATCCTGTCAAGTGAGACTAAGCCAGGGGTGTCCCTGGTAGTTTAAGTCATGCATCAAGTTGTATCATCATCATGTATGTTCCACATCACATCCACATTCAATGTGGTGACATATCATTTTGTAATGTGTAATAGTACCCCATCAGGTGCAAACTGAGTAGTTAGTAAACATGTGGTTTTCCATACGCTAAGTACTGATATTAATATGTGTATAACCATATGGATTATCACTTTATGTTCTTTTGTTAGATTCACTCCTCAGCTTTTGTTGAGCGTGTAGTTGTTTTTGCTACACGCAAGTAGACATGACGGTACAGGTGCTAACCCTGGAGGACAGTGATGATGGGAAGATGGGTGGCGCACGGACGAGTTTAATATTTATATACATTTAATTAATTAACCATTTGGGCATGAACCCACCACATGTTGTTTTACTTATTTTGCACTAGACTTACTTATTTACTTCCGCTTTACTCTGGATTTATATCACACACGTTTCAGGGATAACTCCCTAGCATTTATTTCACCAATTAAACACAACCGTTTTCACCAAGATATGTCCAATGTACAGACCTTGACAAAGGTATTTCTGGTTGGGTTTTCCCAGATGCTTTGAGATGGAATTGAAGAAATGAGTAGCCCAATTTACCTTAGACTTGGTAATGAGGGCATTGATGATGAAGGCCCTCTCTAGGGTGATGTCATCAGCATGTCCTCCACTTCCACATTCGAGGCATGCGATGACCAGTTCAAGGACTAGCTTGTAGTCGTTGTTCAGATTAGTTTTCTTCGCTGGGCCAGAGGGAGCTTGCCCAAAAATTCCAATAATGTTCCAATCCAGATTCTTGGCTGGAAGTCTCCCAATTTCAACTCCAGAATTGGGAAGGTGAAGCTTTTCTCCCAATTTCTTCTGCGAAAGCTTCACTTTTGTCCCTCCAACAGTGGAATTGATGACTTGAATCGTCCTTTGTGGGTCCTTCTTCGATTTGACAGTCTTGACCTTTCCATTCTTGTAGAATTCAAGAACTTCGTTCTCATACTTGAATCGAATCTCCATATGAAGGAATTCGGAGAGCTCTTGAGCAGCAATCATCTCCAGATAGGATTGATAGAACGTTGGTGAGGAGCACTTGGCTTCCAACTTCTGGAAATGGATATTAGCGCCAACAATCTTCATTTTCTCAGAAATTTGAGTGAGAAGATCTGAAGAAATTAGGGTTCTTGAGAATTTTATCAGAAGGTTCTCGCGAAGAAGACGATGAAAAATTTGAGTGGGCTGAGTGGGCAGTTGAG